ATCCATCCTTCCTTTCTTCCTTCGCTCCCTCTAATCCATCCTTCCTTTCTTCCTTCGCTTCCTCTAATCCATCCTTCCTTCCTTCCTTCACTCCCCCTCTAATCCATCCTTCCTTTTTTCCTTCGCTTCCTCTAATCCATCCTTCCTTTCTTCCTCCCTCCTTCCTTCCTTCCTTCATTCCTGCCTGCCTTCTCAATTTCCTTCTTTCTTTTTTCCCTCCCTCCCTCCCTCCCTCCCACCTGCCTTCTTTCTCAATTTTCTTCCGCCCTCCCTCCCTCCCTATCCTTCCTGGCTGCCTTCTCAAATGTCTTCTCCTTCCCTCTCCCCCCCCCCCCAATCCTTCCACCTTTCCTTCTCTTTCTTTCTTTTCCTTTCCTTCTCTCTTTCCTTCCTCTTGTCGGGTGAGTCTTTCTTACTTCTTCTTTTTCCTGAAAAACCTTTCCCTTCTTTTCCCCCCCGCAGAATCAGTACAGCTTGACAAGAGCCCAACAGTCCTACAAATCGCTGGTCCAGATCCACGAGAAGAACGGTAAGGCTTGACCACTCTCGCGGGGACGGTCGGACGCCGAAGACCCCCTGTACCCCAACACGCCCCCCACACCCCCAACTAGTGTCGTCGAATCTTCCAATTCGAATCAGGAATTTCCTGAATTTGCCTCCAGAAGTTGTGAATGTCCCAACACTGGAAGTTTTTAAAGAAGAGATTGGACAACTCTTTTGTCTGAAGGGGTGTAGGGTTTCCTGCCTAGGCAGGGGGTTGGGCTAGAAGACCTTTTAAGGTCCCTTCCAACTCCGTTATTATGCTTTCCTTCTTTCTTCCTTCCTTCCTCCTTCTTGATCTTCCTTCCTTCCTTGCTTGCTTTCCTTCTTCCTTTCCCTCCTTCCTTTTCTTCCTTCCTTCCCTTTCCTTCTTTGTTTTCCTCCTTCCTTCCTTCCTTTCCTCCTTCCTTCTTTCCTCCCTCCCTCCCTCCCTCCCTTTCCCTTCCTTCCTTGCCTTCCATCCTTCCTTTCCTTCCTTCTTTCCTCCTTCCTTCTTTCCTTCCTTCCTCCCTCCCTCCCTTTCCCTTTCTAACCTTCCTTCCTTCCTTTCCTTCTTTGCTTCCTTCCTCCCTCCCTTCCTTCCTAACATTCCATCCTTCCTTTCCTTCCTTCTTTCCTCCTTCCTTCCTCCCTTCCTTTCTAACCTTCCTCCCTCCCTCCTTCCCTTCCTCCCTTCCTTCCTTTCTAATCTTCCTTCCTTCCTCCTTCCCTTCCTTCCTAACCTTCCTTCCTCCCACGCTAGATGTTTTTTACGAAGAGATGGGACGACCCTTTGTCCAAAACGCTATACGGTCTCCCACCTGAGTGGGGGGGGGGGGGTTGGACTAGACGCCCTCCCAGGTGCCCCTTCCAACGCTGCGGTTCTATTCTCCTCGCCCGCGGCTCTTTCGTGAAACTCACTTTTTTGTCTCTTTGCCTCCCCAGGCTGGTACACGCCCCCCAAGGAAGACGGCTAGCCGCGGCGGCGCCCAAGGGAACCGGATCCCATCGTCCTCACCCCTCCCTCCACCACCCATCCCCCCCCCCCGGACGCCCCCCCCCCCCCCCTCTCTGGATGCTGTGGAAGGACATTTTTTTCCCCCCCTCCCTCCTTGGACGCCTTTTTTGCCAGCTCTTCGGAAGAGCCGCTCCGATCGCCTCTTGGGTGGGACTTCTGACGAACTTCTCCAGTCGTGAGCAGCCCCCCCCCGACTCCCACTCGGACCCTCGCTGGCCGGCGATCGGCTCCCCCCCCTCCTCGCTCTTATTAAATGGGGGGGGGGGCGGAGAAGAATGGAGAAAAAAGAACACACACACACA